GAGAGAGAGAGAGAGAGAGAGAGAGAGAGAGAGAGAGAGAGAGAGAGAGAGAGAGAGAGAGAGAGAGAGACCCAAACCAGAAGGGATGTGACGAATCATTTTCTGCGACCACGAGACTTTCTGCGCAAGGCTACTTTGGGGGTTGAAGCGGGATGACCTGTTGGATTGCATGGGTGCCCTTGCTTTTTTTGTGTTTCGTAATCGAGGACGGGATAGTCCCACGACAGTTGGTAGTTGATTCGGCCTTAGCGAGCGCGAAGGATAACTGTTGTCATAACTTCTTTCTCGTTCTGCAGTGGAAAATGAGAATTTTGGCATGATTGTCGCGCGAGAAAATCTTTTTTAATTTGTCAATTGATGTCGAGCCCCCGTGGATGATTGTCGCGCGAGAAAATCTTTTTTAATTTGTTAATTGATGTCGAGCCCCCGTGGACTCTCAAAAATTGCTTCGTTCGAAATTTATTTTTGCAATTAGGATTTAGATTAGGAATTTCGGCGCATCTCAATTTCTGCTGCATGACGCTTCTTGCTTGCGCTGGCTTTGGTGCGTCAGGATCTCTGCTCTGACTTTTCCGCGCCTTACTCTTTGCATGTAACTGTAATTTTTGTTTTGGCGGGTGTGATTGCAACTGTAATCCTCTCGTTCTTGATATCTTTTGTGGCTCCTATATGCGCTCGTACTTCTCCCCCTATCCTATTGGCATGAACACTTGCATGACCGTATCGATGTATGGAGTGTGGCTACGTCCCCCACGCCGCGGCCTGGCCATGCAGACGTAGGCACTTCCTTCCTCCTCCTTCTTTCCCACTCAGGCACAACCCCGGGTATCTCGCGCAAGCATCCATGCTTCGCAAGCGCGATTAACTCGCTCTCTAAGAATTTTGGAGTTAGCGAGGTCGAGAGGATCGATTAACAAGCAAGAGTTGGAAGGTGAGTAGAAAGTTGGGCGATCCGATGGGCTGGTACTAGGTATGCGGGGTTGAAGTGGGGCCATGACGGACTGTGGTTCACGGGCGAACCTGGTTTGCATGCTCGGACTAAGCGGGGTGATAACTCTGTATGGGTGCGAGGCGACAGACTGCCCGCATCGGGATGGTGTGAAGAGAGAGAGAGGGAGAGAGAGACGGGATGTGTTATGATGATGTTTCTCTTCTGTTCTTCTGAGCAATTTTGGTATCTAGCGCATGTCGCCCTTGCCCTATTTTTTATCGGCATCTCAGATTTTTCCTTTGTTTCTTCTCAGAGACTGATGCGTGGTTGTCTCCTTCACCCCCCTTCTCTTTCTATTTGCGATTGAATCTCGTGTGATCTCTAAGCCGATGGCCAAGGAATTGTTGCATAGGGATCATCAACTCCTTTTGTTTGCATGTGTGTGTGTGTGTGTGTGTGAACTTGGATGCACGGATGTTTGGTGTGTGCTTGCCTGTGTATGGATTAGATAAGCATGCTAGATGATTAGATGTCTGCCTCACTACGAGATTATCCACATTGTTAGCCGCTGGCCTTCACCCACCTGACCGAAGGACAGGTCTTGTGCACACACGTGTAGGCCCGACCAAGGAAGGTCACTATTTACACGCGTGTCTGCAAAACCTGTACTCGTCCCAGCTTGGCTGGCTTCCAACCCCGACTTGCAGTATGAATATCGAAATCCTCTTTCGTGTCACTGACCGCGAGTGTTTGAGGGATCGGGAATTCCGGGAATATTGGGAACCCTCTTGCTTGTCTGCACGATCAAAGACGGAATCTATGAAATCTCCCTATTTAACGGGGAACGAACGCGTCTGCGAGTCTAGAACTGTCCTAGCTCCTACACATGTCATGTCGTCATGAAACCCGGAATCATTATCTTTGGGACCGAATTCCCTCCCTATCACCGCATCCTACCCTATCATTCCCTAACCACCATCCCCTGGCGTGCAATCGCTCCTTACTGGCCCCAACCCCCGTGCTCCTTCATTTGGGGAATTCAACACTTTCATCCGTATCTGTACGGACAAAAGTTTCTCCTCGTCACGAATCATGAACCCTTGTTGGCTCTCGTGAGGCTTACTAACTATACGAGCATGATTGGATGATGGGTTATCCGGCTACAGGAATATGACTTCGACATCATCCATCGGAAGAGAAGCAGGGGAACGCCGACGGATTGACGTGATTGCATCAGCAAAGCAAGGTGGCCAAAGGTAAAGAGATCACTCCGTGGAAGGAGCCGGAGTTGACAAAGGGACCATCGTACGGAGAAGTGGCCATTCTCCCCCGAACCTCCAGGAAGTGACATGTGGACACGATGACGATGGATGGAGAAGGTAATTATAGAGACCCCCTTTCTCCCCTCTCATCATCTTCTTTTATCTCCTTGCATGACAAATTTTGTTATTTTTGCGAAGCAATATCGCGGGTCTATAAGGTCCCTATGCGTCCTAGTGGGGAAGGGTATGTCGAGTGGGTAGACTGTGAACGGTATGTCTCTTGGGCCCACGGCTCCTGTGTCCAATACAGGAACTCGGATAAAGCCTGGTTATGTCCTTCGTGTCGAACCGATAAAATCCCGACGGAGGGTCGATTCCTCGAAGCCACGTCCGAAGGGTTGGAAAAAAACCGAAGGTTCCGACGTGTCGAGGTATGGACAAATGTCCTTCTCTTAGCTACGGTGGTTGGGAACTGCTTCCGAGAATTCACCAAGAACGATCGGAGGCGGGCCAACGAGAGGGCACGAGATTACCGATGGAATGACGGACGATTAGAGAAACGAAAGACCGGCGGTAGTGGAATTTGGATGTCGGTGCCTCATCCGTTCATGAGGTACGACTGGGTTAAGTTGGCGCAAGAGGAAACTGCCGCCCACTTTATTGTCGAGATCACGGAGTCGACAATTGACAAAAACGAATGATATTGGTCTAATATCCGAGACGATGTTAAATTCATTGTTAAAAATTGTCTGGTCTGCGTGGCAGGCAAGGCGCCGGTTCAACCGCGTAGGTCGATAATACCCACTGTAGTTGAACGACCATTTCAAAGGGTTAGCATGAATACGACAGATATCGTCGTGTCCCCTGAACCGATGAGCTGCGAATATTCAGTTCTTCTGGTATTCGTGGATCATTTCTCAAAATGGATCGAGGCCTATCCCTGCAAAACGCGACAGACAACAGAGATTGTGTGGTATGTCATCCGTTTCCTCGGAATGCACAAGACACAGAGGAAATCCTAAAGGACAACAAGGCAGAATTCCGAGGAGACGTCTTGAAGAGCCTCATACATGCCATTGACGTCTCCGTTCGCAGTACGGCTCCCCATATGTCGCAATCGAACAGACTAGTAGAAAATGCAAACCGGGTGATTAAGACAACTTTGCGGCGAAGAAATCCTAATGGACAACGAGGCAGAATTTCGAGGAGACGTCTTGAAGAGCCTCATACATGCCATTGGCGTCTCCGTTCGCAATACGGCTTCCCATATGTCGCAATCGAACAGACTAGTAAAAAATGCAAACCAGGTGATTAAGGCAACTTTGCGGCGAAATACGCGGCTAGGGACACGAGGCCTTGGCCCGATATCGTAGACCACATCCTAGCTATCCACCGAGGGATACCCCATGAGTCCACCGGTCAGACCCCTTTTTAGTTACGGACCAATAGTATGGCCTGAGTAGCTCTGTCGAGCCTGAACGACGAGACGACCCTTGCACGACGAGCCACGAGGGCAACGGTCAAGGACAAGGCTCAACGCCACTTAGAGTTGATGGAAAAGACTCTCCCCCGTTTAGCCCGGAAAAGACAGCGGATGACCGAAATGGCCCACGGACGACATGTCCGGAGCTATGAGGCCCGGAATGGGAACACTGGTCCTCGGGCCCAGTATAAATTAGGGGACATAGTGCAGGTGAGGAAATGTGCTCGCCAGGGCAAGTTAGCGCCACGATTCTTCAGGCGATTCCACATAGTCGAGCTCGGTCCTAGCGGAGTGAACACAGTGCGGCTTACGCCGGAGGTCTGAGGAAGCCGATCGGCTCGACCGATCATTCTTCACGTGTCCTATCTTCGTCCCTTATCTCCTTCTCCTTCTCTCCCATCGTTTACGTTGTCCCTCGACTTTGAGGAGGAAGACGACGATCTTGAATTCGAATACACTGATTCTCCTTCTTCTTAACCTTTGTCTCCACCCTCTCCCCCATTGCCATGAGCTTTTCTACAGAACAGGTCATTAGGGCGTCTAATGAGACCTGGGGGCATATTTCGTCAATCCGACAGGTGCAACGACCACGATTGAGTCCCGATCTGCTCTGATTCGCGACATTCTTCAACGTGACGGCCATTCACAAGGCGGCAGAATTTTGGTTCACACAAATCAACGATCGAGTACAAGTGTTGGCCGAGGTGTCAACTTTTCTGTGGCTGTCTCCACCAGGCGTCAGCCACGTGTCCGTAATCGTCGCCTTCACCGGCGATCTTACGACGTCGCATCCATCATCCCACACAGGCGTCGTCCGACAACTGCGACTCTGGGTGCATGACCTCACGACAGCGTGGATTCAGCTGTTAGCGCAGCTTGGCGATCAGATCGACTCCACTAACGACGTTGATCTCAACCAGCTCCGACTTTTTTCCACTGCACCGGAGGTCTTCATCCCGGAGCTCCTTCCCTTCACGCCGCCCCAATGAACTGGCATCGCCTCTCGCCTTTCGGGCTTCCCTCCAACCTCCCCACTTTCTGGCAGTCCGCTATGGACGCCCCTCTATCCTTTCGGGTCAGGCAGCTGGACGTGTCGATCCTTGACGCAGACAAGAGGACGGAGTGGTGGAACGTGTACTATGTCGCGCTCAGTTTCTGTTTCCTCGAGGTGATATTCCATTGGGCCGAACCGGCCAACAAGGACGAAGAAGACGAAGTCCCCGACGATGACGTGGAGATGTTGATAATCCAAGCGTGGAGAACGGATACGGAGGGGGAACTGTTGGGGATCCTGTTCGGAAAGGTGAGGGGCGGACATTTGGAGCCAATCACGAGTGAAGTTCTGGTGTTACTGGCGCAACTCCTGGACGATCTGCCTCTAGACATCCTTTCGCGCTGTGACGAGCGGCCCACACCAGCGACGCTCACCCGTACGTTGATACCGCATCTGTTGTGGTCCATGTGTACGAAGCTCGACGGCGACAACGGCTACTACCCCTCCTTGGGCCACTATCTGGTCATTGATGTGACCGATCTCACCTTGTGGGATCCGATCACTCGAAGGGTGGAAGCAGAAGAAGAAGTAGACGAAGAAGAAGAAGAAGAAGAAGAAGAAGAAGAAGAAGAAGAAGAAGAAGAAGAAGAAGAAGAAGAAGAAGAAAACTCGGGGGCGGAATCTGACGACCCCGATTACAACGAGTCACAGGAGAGTGAGTCGGGACGGAGTGGGTCGGACGGATCGGGCAGCCCCAGTGAACGCAGCAAGGAGGAAGACGAAGCAGCAACACAAAAGAGACGAGAGAGGGCAGAAGGAAAGTGGCCAGTGGAAGAATCAGACGGACCCACAATGCGGCTATTAAAAGGCGATCCGACGCCCAATCCAGAGCCTCCACAAGAGGAGCTCGGAGGAGATAGCGTCACCGCCACGGAGGGATCACGAAGCAGACGCCGTAGAAGAAGTCCTTCGCCAGCTCAATCCTCTCCACCACCACGGCCCACCGTTCGCATACGTGGAGATGCGGGCGCTCGGGCTTCGTCCCCGGTCGTTATCCCCCCGTCCCCTTGATTACCTCACCCTTCATCAGCTCGTGGGCCGACCCCCGTTGCCTTCTAACTGGCATCCTTTCCCACCTTCCCTCTTCCACCAACTCTACACCACCCGCCTCATCGCCACAGTCTTCCCACACGCCACCACTCGCTCTCTACTAACCTCTTTTCCCCTCCACATCCTTCTCTTTAGCGCGGCACAGCAGGAAAATAACAATATAAAGGTTTATTGCATAATCGCGGGTACCATCCCCACGTGCGAAGAATATGATAATTTCCATGCCGCGATTCCCCGCACCCTCTGTACCCTCTATCCTGATTACCTCACCTCGCTCCCTCACCAAGATAATCGTTTCCCTCGCATCCACCGCACCATACACTACACCCGACAATCTCTAGGATTTGAGTTCACGAATGCCACTTGGATGATGTCCATAATTTTAGCTCACGGTAAGCAGCACGTGTCAGCTCCACGTCGATCGCTGGTGTTTTATCGCGAGATCGACGGATGATTGGGAGAGCAGGAAGGAGCTTGCTCAAGATTGGAACCCCCTGGGCATCACATATGTGATGAACCGTTTTCTGCGACGGTGCGGATTTCTGCGCAAGGCTACTTTGGGGGTTGAAGCGGGATGGCCTATTGGATTGTATGGGTGCCCTTGCTTTTTTTGTTTTTCGGAATCGAGGCCGGGATAGTCCCACGACGGTTGGTAGTTAATTGCGCCTTAGCGAGCGTGAAGAATAATTATTGTCATAACTTTTTTCTTGTTCTGCAGTGGGAAATGATAATTTTGGCGCGATTATCGTGAGGGAAAATCTTTTTGAATTTTCAACTGATGTCGAGGCCCTGTGGGCTCTTGGAAATTGTTTCGTTCAAATTTTTTTTTTGCAATTAGGATTTATATTAGGAATTTCGGCGCATTTCAATGTCTGCTGCACGACGCTTCTTGCTTGCGCACACTTTGCTGCGTCAAGATCTGTGCTCTTACTTTTCCGCGCCTTAATCCTTGCGTGTAACTGTAATTTTTGTTTTGGCGGGCGTGATTGCAACTGTAATCCTCTCGTTCTTGATATCTTTTGTGGCGCCCTTGTGCACTCGTACTTCTCCCCCTGTCCTATTGGCCTGAATGCTTGCATAACTGGATCGATGTGTGGAGTGTGGCTACGTCCCCCACGCCGCGACCTGGCCATGCAAACGTAGGCAGTTCATTCCTCCTCCTTCTGTCTCACTTAGACACAACCCCGGGTATCTCGCGCAAGCATGCATGCTATAAATTTTGCAAGCGAGATTAACCCGCTCTCTAAGAATTTTGGAGTTAGCACTGTCGAGAGGATCGGCTAACAAGCAAGAGTCGGAAGGTGAGTAGAGAGTTGGGCGATCCGATGGGCTGGTGCTGGGTATGCGGGGTTGAAGTGGGGCTGCGACGGACTGTGGGGCACGAGCGAACCTAGCTTGCATGCTCGGACTAAGAGGGGTGACATGTTGTGATGATGTTTCTCTTCTATTATTCCGAGAAACTTTGGTATCTGACACAAGTCGCCCTTGTCCTTTTTTTGATCGGCATCTCGGATTTTTCCTTTGTTTCTTTTCAGAGACTGATGTGTGGTTGTCTCGTCCACCCCCCTTCTCTTTCTATTTGCGATCGAATCTCGTGTGATCTCTGGGCCGATGGCCAAGGAATTGTTGCATAGGGATCATCGACTCCTTTTGTTTGCATGAGTGTGTGTGTGAAGCTGGATGCACGAATGTTTGGTGTATTTTTGTCTGTGTATGGATTAGATAAGCATGCTAGATGATTAGATGTTTGCCTCACTGTAGGATTATCCACATAGTTAGCCGCTGGCCTTCACCCACCTGACCGAAGGACAGGTCTTGTGCACGCACGTGTAGGCGCGACCAAGGAAGGTCGCTACTTACACGTGTGTCTGAAAAACTTGTACTCGGCCCAACTTCCCGAATGGATGGCTTTTCACCCCGACGTGCAGTATGAATATCAAAATCCCCTTTCGTGTCACTGACCGCGAGTGCTTGAGGGATCGAGAATTCTGGGAATATTCGAAACCCTCTTGCTTGTTTGCACGATCAAGGACGAAACCTCCAGATTTCCCTATTTAACGGGGAACGATCGCGTTTGCAAGTGGGACATCGATCAGGCCTTGGGACGTATAACACATCTCCCCAACTGTCCTAACTCGTACACGTGTCACGTCGTCACGGAGCCCGGAATCATTATCTCGGGGACCGAATTCCCTCCCTATCACCGCATCCTACCCCATCACTCCCTAACCTTCGTTCCCTGGCGCGCAATCACTCCTTGCTGGCCCCACCCCCCGTGCTCAGAGTGTCTGTAGGACTACGAGTACCGGGCCTCCGACTTCATCCGGCGAACTCGCTTGGAGGAAGAACGGCGGGCGCACAACCTTCTATTGAGGCCGGCTGCGTCGGATTCAGAGACTTGCGACGTTCGACACCGTCAGGTGACCAGCCAGCGGGATAGTCATAGCATCCCGACAGTGCACCATATACGAGTCTGACTCAGACGACGGAACCAACAGAGGCGGTAACCCTACTTTCCGAAGCACAAAACAGGACTCCGATCTGCGCCTACCCTCTTGCATTCGTATCCCTGAAACTTGCCACCGGAGATCTCAGTTCCGACCTGGGACTCCACCTTCACTTTCCTAAAATCCTTGGCACACCCCCTTTTCGCACTTCCAGGCCCACTCCCACTCCGATCAGGAAGTCTCGCCAGGCGTGAGGTTTGGGCATCACAGGGGGAGGAACGATGGTCCCTCCTTGGTCGTGGTCGTCGGGCCCCCGATCGGGACTGACATCAAAAGCCAAGGGGAATAGTCCTGTGGGACCCTCAACCCCTCGGTTTCTCCGTACGCACACCATCACTCCGCCGCTGTTCGCTCGCCTCGAGCCTTGTATCCGTCGCTTGAAAGTCTAACATCGTAGTAGCCAGTAGGGCTAGGCTCAAGTCTGGGTCTAGTAGGCGCAATTGTCCATATAAACATATTCGTACCGCTGTCGGGCCTGTCAAAATGCATCAAGGCCACTCCTTGGCTTATCGGCCATCCCATGGCCGCCGAACTCCCACACCGCTTGTGCGAGGGCTCGGGACTATACTTCAGTTGGTGACGCTCATAGAATGTCACCGCTTGCCTTTGACGCCATGCACACCTGAGCCTCAAAGGGTTGCACTTGAACTGTCCGGGGCACTGGTGCGTTGCTTATCAAGGCGGAACTCAACTTTTTGCGTGCGTGCGTGATTCGCCGTTCGCACTAAAGTCCTACATGGCAAATCTCAGCACCTCTCTTGTCCACATGTTCCCAATCCAATCTCACCAACCCCATGCCAAGGCCGCGCCTCGGCTACGTAGACTGCCATCAACTACAAACGAGACCGTACATGGTCTGATCTACATGAGTAACAAACGAAAAAAAAACGAGCGCGGCAGGGGGGGAAAGGGGGGGAAGAGAGAGAGAGAGAGAGAGAGAGAGAGAGAGAGAGAGAGAGAGAGAGAGAGAGAGAGAGAGAGAGAGAGAGAGAGAGAGA